AATTCTGTATCCAGCGAAATTATCCTTCAAAAGTGAAGGAGAAATAATGACTTCCTCAGACAAACAAAAACTGAGGGAACTCACCTCCAGCAGACCTGCCCTGCGAGAAATGTTAAAAGATTCTCTTCAGGCAGAAGGAAAATAATATAGCTCAGAAATTTGGATCTACATAAAGAAAGGGAGAGCAATGGAGAAGGAATAAATACAAGTAAAATAAAATCTCTTATTTTTCTTATTATTAATTGATCTAAAAAATAACTTTGTTTGAAGTAATAATAACAGTGTACTAGGTGGTTAATATATGGATAAATGAAAATAATGACAGCAATGTCACAAGGGATGGGAGGGAGGAATTGGGAATCATCTGTTAACAAGTACCTATGCTACACAGAAAGCACAATGGTGGTCTCTGAACAGGGACTTAGATGAGTTAAAACGTATGTTCTAATACAACTGCTAAAGTTGAAAGAAAGGCATAATTAATATCTAAGAGAAGAGATAAAATGGAATCAGAAAATGCTCAATTACAAGTGGAGAAGGCAGGGCTTCCCTGGTGGCGCAGTGGTTGAGAGTCCGCCTGCCGATGCAGGGGACACGGGTTCGTGCCCCGGTCCGGGAAGATCCCACATGCCGCGGAGCGGCTGGGCCCGTGAGCCATGGCCGCTGAGCCTGCGCGTCCAGAGCCTGTGCTCCGCAACGGGAGAGGCCACAGCAGTGAGAGGCCCGCGTACCGCCAGAAAAAAAAAAAAAAAAAAAAAAAAAAAGTGGAGAAGGCAGAAAAAGAAGCCTCTGATAACAAATAGAAAACAGTTACAAACATGGTTGTTATTAATCCAAACACGTAAAAGAATCACTTTAAAAGTGAATGGTCTAAATACACCAATGAAAATACAGAGATTATCAGAGTATATTAAACAACAAGAACCTTCCCCCCTCCCAAAAACCCCAAGATCCAAGGATACCTGTCTACAAGAAAGCTACTGTAAGTGGTGGGTGGGGAGAGATACACCATGGAACACTAATCGAAAGATGGTGGAATGGCCATCATCAAACACTCTAGAAACAATAAATGCTGGAGAGGGTGTGGAGAGAAGGGAATCCTCTTGCACTGCTGGTGGGAATGTGAATTGGTTCAGCCACTATGGAGAACAGTATGGAGGTTCCTTAAAAAACTACAAATAGAACTACCATATGACCCAGCAATCCCACTACTGGGCATATACCCTGAGAAAACCAAAATTCAAAAAGAGTCATGTACCAAAATGTTCATTGCAGCTCTATTTACAATAGCCCGGTGATGGAAACAACCTAAGTGCCCATCATCGGATGAATGGATAAAGAAGATGTGGCACATATATACAATGGAATATTACTCAGCCATAAAAAGAAACGAAGTTGAGCTATTTGTAATGAGGTGGATAGACCTAGAGTCTGTCATACAGAGTGAAGTAAGTCAGAAAGAAAAAGACAAATACCGTATGCTAACACATATATATGGAATTTAAGAAAAAAATGTCATGAAGAACGTAAGACAGGAATAAAGACACAGACCTACTGGAGAACGGACTTGAGGATATGGGGAGGGGGAAGGGTGAGCTGTGACAGGGCGAGAGAGAGTCATGGACATATACACACTAACAAACGTAAGGTAGATAGCTAGTGGGAAGCAGTCGCATAGCACAGGGAGATCAGCTTGGTGCTTTGTGACCGCCTGGAGGGGTGGGGTAGGGAGGGTGGGAGGGAGGGAGACGCAAGAGGGAAGAGATATGGGAACATATGTATAACTGATTCACTTTGTTATAAAGCAGAAACTAACACACCATTGTAAAGCAATTATACCCCAATAAAGATGTTAAAAAAAAAAAAAAAGAAAGCTGGTGGAGCTACACTAACTGCAGACGGAGCCGACTGCAGAGCGAGGAAAGTTATCTGGGATAAAGAGGGCCATTACTTAATAATAAGGGGTCAGCTCTGCATGAACACGTAACAATCCTAAACATGTGAGCACCTAACAGAAGAGCATCAAACTACACGAGGCAAAGCCCGACAGAGCTGCCAGGAGAAACAGGTGGATCCACTATTACAGCTGCAGACCTCAACCTTCCCCCATCAGAAATGGGGAGATCCAGCAGGGAGGGATCAGTAAGGACACACCCGAGCTCAACAGCACCATCAATCAACTGCTACTTCATCCAAAACCAGCAGATTACACGTTCCTCTGAAGGAACATGGAGCATTCACCAAGGAGACCACATTCTGGGCCACAAAGCGCACTAACAAATTTGTAAGAACAGAAGTACAGTGTCTGCTCTCAGACCAGAATGTAATTAAAGTAGAAATCAGTAACAGAAAGATAGCTAGAGAATTCCCAAATATTTGGAAATTAAATTCCCTATCACTTACAATTTTAATTTCTTCTCTAGTATTTCATCACTATATTTACCTCCTGCAACTACTTTTAACTTTCAAATAACACATGTGAACACACAAATGAAATGTATCATTGGTATGAAGACATCTGAAAACAGAAATAGTCTTCAAGTTTTTCTAATTTCAGGAAAATAAAATTTTAACACTGCTCATTCCAAGCATTTTAGGTCTTAAATATATTTGCCCACGATGGCAAAAGTATGAATTAAAAGAATTACAACTACAGTGACATAAAGTCTTCAAGGCGACAGCTGTCATCTCACCAGACCAGAAATTTCTAAAGGCCCTGACAACACAGAAACACCAGCAGGTCAGAAGAGCCTCAATGGGGACGGTGCCCGCCACACTCAGCAACACCTCCCTCCTCCCAACTGTGCGTGGACCATCGCGCTGAACCGTGCTGGCCTCTCTGAGAAACCTGCTCTGACGGAGCTGAGGAGGAGTCTGTGTCCTTCTAATACAGCGCATTTCTTCTCTACCATCTCCTACGGGGCTGGGGACACACGACGCATTTAGGTATAGACGCAGCCACAGTACTCAGGTTAGTCAAACGAACTCCAATAACACAAACCAACTTTGCAAAACCTGGTTAAGTGACAACGTAAGATTGTTTAGAAAAGCAAACATTTTTTTTTTTTTCTTTTTTGCGGTACGTGGGCCTTTCACTGTTGTGGCCTCTCCCGTTGCGGAGCTCAGGCTCCGGACACGCAGGCTCAGCGGCCATGGCTCACGGGCGCAGCCACTCCGCGGCATGTGGGATCTTCCCGGACCGGGGCACGAACCCGCGTCCCCTGCATCGGCAGGTGGACTCTCAACCACTGCGCCACCAGGGAAGCCCAAAGCAAACGTTTTTATACCAGGTACAAATGAAGTATTCTGTCAAATGCATCTCAGTTTTCCAAATAAAAATGGCATCCAACTAGTGTATTTTAAATGTGTTTGAATAATCTTGACATTAACACTAAACTGGCTGAAATACAGCTTAACAGCTTGTCCTCCATATTTGCCTTTCCAGCCACGAATCTTTCACATCTATCTACTGGATTACAGTTTAATGGGTATCAAATAAATAGATCTCGATACAGATGATGCTCCCCCGAAATGTTCTCCTTCCCCTTTACCTTCTATAGACTACTTACAACGTCCTGAGAAAAGGCCAAAATTCGGGGCGGGGCGGAAATCAGTTTTAACTAGAGGTCCCAATAACCTCAATTTCACTACTTTACTTGAAGATTTTTAAGAACTAATTCTTGAACAGCTTCCACCAGCAAGAAAGTATGAGAGACCATTCTATACTCTTTTCTCTGGGTGGTTCCCTAGGGACTAGAAACTGGAGCTCTATTCAGGTAAGAACAGGGAGCCAACAGCTTCCCGAACTCATACGTTCACCCAGAGGGCAAGGGCTGTGGATCAGGGAGACCATGAAAATAGCCTGGCCTTGAATACATACCTGAATAATGCTACTTAAAATCACCCGATTAACAAAGGTATCATTAAGTGTTCAAATTGAGCAATTCAATCTAATAAAATTTAAGCATAAATGTGAGTGGTCACCAAGCACCTATCATAAGAGAACATGACAAGCTGATTACACTCTGTTATAAACCAGTGGTTATAATCTCTCGCCTGTGCCCCTCCCCAGCTATGGCAACGTGTGGCCTTCTTGAGAAAGCCCCTTTCAGGCCACGTCCTCCCTTTCTCTCCCAGTGGAGAATCACTGCTTTAAGTAACGTTATCAGTAAAGCTTGGGGAAAATTCTACTTTTGACTGACTAGAACTAATAACACGAGGCAGAGTAAGTGACCAAAAAATAAAAATTCGTGATAAGAGTCAATAAAGGTAAGTTCAAAATAGCTAGAGAGGCACAAAGAACGAAACTAACCTGAAAATCTCACTGCAAAGTCTAAGATACTGAACATAAACCTGAGGTTCTCGGAGAAGAAATGCACGCAAATCACACTTTCCCAGCCCCTCACTACTCTCCTGGCCAGGCCTCCCGGTCTGCCCCCAGCCCCTCCCACTCATCACCTGCCCGGCACACGGGCTCGCACCGCATGGCACCCAGGGTCCCGCCTTCAAGCTTGTTCCTTTCTACATAAAAGTCCTCAGTCTCGTGCTTAGAGGACACTCATTTTAGACCCTGTAGAGCCCAGCCAGTGTTAGAGGACTCATGTCACATTCAAATTATTTTACCCACCACACTGAGAAAAAGAGCCAGGCCTCCAAAAGCTGCGGGTAGAGAACTGACCTGCTCTCTGGGTGGGGAGAAGCCCTGTGTGGAAGGTCCCCGAGCACAACCCGTCACCCCGGCACCATCTGAAAAACTCTTCACGTACTAGTTAATTCTGGAGGAATAAACCATGACTTTCATGATTGTTTTTACAAGTGTAAAGGTTGAAAATTCTGAGTTTAAGGTATTACGGTAGAAGGAAACATTTACAGACCCTCCAATCAAGCGCGGATGCTGTCCTACACAAGCTGCCAACTTATGGGTTTCCGTTTGTTTCAACATGTACCCCTCAAGGTCTGAGTGACGGGTGAGCTTTCCAGCCCTTTCTGCCCTGACTTACCTTACTGTGTGTGAAGGGGGGCGCTGTGTACAAGGTGGGGTGGATGAGAGGGCGAGGCAGGTGTGGGACGGCGTGCAAGGGCACATGTCCATGGATGTGGGGGTAAAGATGCAGAGCGGGGTGTGTGGGCTTCTCGGGGCTCAGGAACTGGTGGCCAGGAGGAAGGGCTCCAGCGGTCACTGCCGACGGCGTCAATCCAGACGCCTCTTGTTTACAGACGTGACATTCACAAGTGTTTGGAGCTTGCTCTGCCTAAAGGGAAAGAAAAAAGAAGTATTTAGTAAATGAGTATTTAGGGAAACAAAGAATTGTATGGACTGAATTAGAGCCAGTCACACGGCAGATACAAAGGCAGCAGGGCCCGTCCTGACACCCCAGGTTGACGGGTCCCTCCTTGTGAGGTAAACGAGGGCCCCCAGGACTGGGACTGAAGAGACCTGAAAAGAGAAGGGGGTGCGCACCTCCCCCCAGCTGGGTGTCTGCTGAGGCAGCAGCCACATCCATCTGCATCCCGCGCCTGTCTGAGCAGGGGCAAGGGGACTGGCAAGACGGCAGAGCGGAGAGAGGGAGCTGGGACCAAGGACAACAAGACCACCAGTGAGTGCCATGCTCCGCCGGGCTCACACTGCTTAACGGACGGTTACACAGAGATTCTTCAAAATGCACCAGAGATGGGACTTCCGGCTAAGGTGGAATGAAGCAGTCGGTGACTCTTCTCCCTCAAAACAAGTGTAAAACTGAACACAATTGTCAAAGGCAATCGTTTTGAGGCTCTGGAAATCAACCAAAGGAAAATAACAAATTGAGAAGCGTTTCTTCATGCAAATCTGCTAGAACTTTCAGGTGAGAACAGAAGGGGTCTAGCCTTCTTGCCCAGGGCTCTTCCTGTTCCCAACTCCCCACACTCCTTAAAAAATTAAACTTTAAAACAAACAAACAAAAAAACGTAACTCAAGAATAAATAGCAGAATTAAAATGGTACACTAAAATTTTCTTTGATATGAAAAAAGGAAGTAAAGGAGGGACAGAGGTACAAAAAACATGAGACCTACAGAAATAACCAGCAAAATGGCAAATGTAAATATTGTCAATAATTACATTAAATGTAAATGACTCATTTCAAACAAAAGGCAAGGACTGATGGACAGGATAAAAATATGAGACCAAACTAAAAGACTGGAAGGCAAATTTTAGACTCAAAGACACAAAGAAGCTGAAATTAAGAGCTGAAAAAATATATAATGTAACAGTACTCCGAAGACAGGTGGAGTATTAATATTAGACAAAATAGTCTAAGATAAGAAGTATTAGCAGGGAAACAGTTCATAATGACAAAAGGGCCAATATGTTAGGGAGATAGAACAATAATTACGTGGATACACATTCAACAACACTGCCCCAAAATGCACGAAACAAAAACTGGCAGATTTGAAAAAGGAATAGACAACCTAAAAGGCATACTTGAAGACTTCAATATGTCTCTCTCAAAAATTTTCAGAACTAGATAGAAAATCAGGAAGGATATAGAAGACTTGACTAACGCTATCAATCAACTTGACCCAACTTTCATTTACAGGCCGCTCCACCTAATAGGGGCAGAATACAAGTGCACCTCTAGGACAGACCACATGTTAGGCCATAAAACAAGTCTCAATAAATTTGGAAGCTCTAAAATCAGTAATCTAAGCTTTAGATTCAACAAGCTAGAAACAGAACAAACCAAACCCAAAGAATATAGAAAGAAACAATGGAGATCAGAACAGAAATCAATGAAAGAGAAAAGAGACAAACAGAGAAAAGTAACAAAACCAAAAACTGGTTATTTACAAAAATGGACAAACCTATAGCCAGACTGACTGAGGGGGTTAAAAAGGAGTAACCAAAATTACCCAAATCAGGAATTAACATCACTACAGACTCTACAGAATTAAAAGAGAGTATAATAAACAACCATATGATATCAAATTAGACAATTTAGATGAAATGGATAAATTCCTAAAAAGACACAAATTATTAAACTCATCCCAAGAAGAAACAGAAAATCTGAATAGACCTGTAGTAAGTAAACAAAATTTGAATTAGTAATTACAAAATTTCCCACAAAAAGAGACCAGGCTCATGGGATTTCACTTGTGAATTCTATCAAATATTTAAGAAATCTCAATCTTAGACAAATTCCTTCAGAAAATATATGCAGAACAAACAATTCCCAACTCATTCTATGAGGCAGGTATCACCCTGATACCAAAGCCAGACAAAGACATCATAAGGATGGACAACTATAGACCAGTATCTTTTATTAGCACAGATGCAAAAACCCTAACAAAATAACCAATCAAGCAACATATGAAAAAGGGACTATGCCATGAGCAAGTGGAATTTATCCCAGGAACACAAGGTTGGTTTAATATACGAAAATCACTTGATGAGATACACCACGGTAACAGAATAAAGGATGAAAACCACAGGGTCTCAACAGATGCAGAGAAGGCATATGAAAAACCCAAAGCATGTTCATGATAAAACTCCCAAAAAACTAGGAGTAGAACAGAATTTCCTCAACTTGACAAAGGACATCTATGAAAAACCTACGGCTAGCATCATACTTTACTGGTCAAAGACTGAATGCTTTCCCCCTAAGACTGGGAATAAACAAAGACATCTACTTGCACCACTTCTACTCAACACTGTACTGGAGGTTCTAGCTAGCTCAATAAGGCAAGAGTAGGGAATTAAAAGAATCCAGATTGGAAAGGAAGAAGTAAAACTGTTTATTCACAGACAACATGATCTTGCATGTATAAAGTCCAAAGTAATCTACCAAAAAAAAAAAAAAAAAACCAACCCCAAAAACAACACCACAAAACTTCAACCCTTCTAAAACAAGTTTATTAGCAAAGCTGCAGAATTCAAGATCAATATATGAGAATCTATTGTATTTCTATATATTACCAACAGTCAATTGAAAATCGAAATTAGAAAACACCTTTACTATAGAATCAAAAGACATCTAATACTTAAGAATAAACTTAAGAAACATGTTCGAGAACCACAGACTAGAAATTTTTAAAAACCGCTGAGAGAAATTAAAGATGACCTAAATAAATGGAAGCAGCATGGTCACTGACTGACAGATTCAATTTTGTTAAGACTGTATTTTCCCAAAATTGATCCTTATCATCCCACAAATAAAAGATTAGGCCCAGAGAAGTTTGCTGATGAATTCTATCAAATATTCAAGAATTCAATGCAACCTCTATCAAAATCCAAGCAGGTCTTTTTGGAGAAGGTAACAAATTGTTCCTAAAATGTATACGGGGAATTCCCTGGTGGTTCAGTGGTTAGGACTCGGTGCTTTCACTGTGGTGGCCCAGGTTCAATCCCTGGTCGGGGAACTAGGATCCCACAAAGCCATGCAGTATGGCAAAAAAATAAATAAATAATAATAAATAAAACAAAAAATAAAATGTATATGGAAATGCACATAGATTTTGAATGCATTTAGACTTTGAAAAGGCTACACAATTTTGAAAAAGGCCCACCAAGCTGCAGGGCGGATCCTACCCGATTTCCAAGCTTACAGTGAAGCAACAGTCAAGCAGAGTGTGGGCTTAAGGACACAGAGATCAAATGAGCAGGATCCTGAGTACAGACATTAACCCATACATTTATAGGCAACTGATTTGCAATAAATAGCCAATGCAATTCAACAGGGGAAAGGATGGCCCTTTCCACAAATGGTACTGGGACAACTGGATACCCAAATATGCAAAAGGTGAATTTGGACCCTAACCTCAGACCATAAGCAAAACTGAGTCAAATGGACCACAGACCTAAGTAAGAGCTAAAATTATAAATATTATAGAGGAAACGAGAGTTTTGTATTAGGTAAAATTTTCTTGGATATGACTTCAAAAGCATGACTCATAAAAGAAAAAATTTATAAACTGGAATGCATCAAAATTAATAACTTCTGCTTTTCAAAAAACACCATAAAAATACTAAGACATACCACAGACCAAAAGAAAATATTTGTAGGTCACATACTTGATAAATGACTTGTACCAATATATACCAATATATACAGAACTCTTTTTTTAAAAAATATTTATTTATTTGGAGGTGCTGGGTCTTAGTTGTGGCACGCAGGATCTTCGTTTCAGTATGCGGGATCTTTAGTTGCAGTGTGTGGACACTTCGTTGAGGCATGCAGGATCTAGTTCCCTGACCAGGGATCGAACCCGGGCCCCCTGCATCGGGAGTGTGGAGTCTTAGCCAATGGACCACCAGGGAAGTCCCCACAAAGAATTATTAAACTCAAAAACAAGACAGAGAAGGAAATGCAACCCAAACGGCCCCTCAATATATGACAGAATGAGCTCAACTTTGCCCATAAAAAATGGAATGAAAACTGAAACCTCACAGGGTTACCACTTCTCATCTACCAGACTGGCAAGAGCTCAAAACTCTTCCAGGGGGAGGGGAAGGCATCACGCTGACCCGGTAAAGCCACTCCTGGTGACCGCTCCTAGGGACAGAACTGCCTACGTATAAAATGTCAGATATGTAAGGTTACTCACTGAATAGTTTATGATGGGGAAACAAACGGAAGCAAACACAAGTGTCCGTCAGCAGGGACTAAAAAGAAAAACAAAACGGAACTATGACACGTCCACACGATGGAATACAAAGAGACCAGCAGCGGAGCAAGAGGAAGTGCGCTCTGTACAGGTGAAGCTGGTCAGGACACACTGCTGGGCAGGGAAGAGAACAGAGTGTGCATTAGTATAAGCCTTTTTCATGAAAAGGCGAAGAATAGTTGTATTTGCATAAATAAACACTGGAAGGACCTAGTTTTAAATAGGTAAAACTGGTTACGTATTGGGACTAGGGGCTGGGGGTGAGCAGGCGCTGCAGCCGGTAGATGAGGAAGGAGGTGGGAGCGAGACTTCTCAGGGTAGTAACACCTTCTGGTGTCCTTTCCTGCAGATTTACACCACCTGCTGAAATGGTTTTAATCAGCCTGGACCTTCATCTGTTCTTCCTTTCATTTAAAAACTGCTTGAGCGCCTATTATAAAACTCTGAGTCTCTAAGAAAAAATAACAGTCTGGTAAGGTACCCGCACCTCTGGCTAACAGAAAAACAGACACTATCAGGAAAGAAAAGCTCCCTTACAAAACCAACCTCTTCTGAAATTTTAACATTCCACTCTTTCATTTTATTAAAAAAAAAAGCCCTTCCCTTGCTTCCCAGACAAGAAAACCTCCCCAACACTTGAATATCTGGAGCCACTCTGCGGTGCCGCAGAGCCAAGACGACACTGATCACAGATTCAGGAAAGAGGAGCAGGACTGAGGGGAGGGAGCGAGTCACGTCTGCTTATTTGCAAGGATGCCTCGACTCTCTCCAGGCCTAATCTTCAGAAGTTTTTCGAAATAAAATAATTCTGTGTTCAATAACGCTCATGTTTAGAGAAACCAGAGGCAGAAAAGAGACCTCTGGCAAAACAAAGTTCGAAAAAATAAAATCATACCTGCTGAGTTGAGTAAGACGGGGGTGGACTGTCCACTTTACTTTCCTCCTTCCCAGGGCTCCCGTCTCCTAGAGCTGTGTCTTCCTTCGGGGCTCCCGGGGGCTCCCCACTACTTTCGCCGTCTGCCTCCTCGTCATCAGCCTCTGAAGAACTACTGCTGGTACTGCTTACCTGAGGGGACTTTAAAAACAACCCTTTGTAATTTACACTTTTTGAAACAGAAGAATGGAGGCAACTGACACACCAGACACCGTCTGATGTCACTTACTGTCACTATGAAGACGCATGCCCATACCTCGTCCTTCAGGGCCATGTTTTCCCCGCCACCGTTCAGTTCACCGTGGATTCCATTCATGCTGGCCACCACCTCGGCATCATCATAGTTACTCAGCGGATAAATATCAGCAAACTTAGCTGACAACGGCGCAACATCTTCATCGTCACTACAACTGAGAGAGCAGAGACGTCACCAGGGGGCCGCTCTCCGCGAGCACAGCGAACGCACCACCCGCCAAGCAGACACCGCGCTCGTTCACAGGAGTGCTGCACTGAGTGCCACGCATGCCCCTCAGCATCTCCTCGTAACCTGAACGCACGAGGAAACGCCTGGAAGATTACCATTTGTGCTATTTGGAAGAACGGAAAACAAGACTCCAGAAGGAGAAACATTAAGGAAACCACAAAATTTAATCAGATTAATTGATGTTGCACATCTATTCAAGTTGAAGTGCCCTGGTGTACAACTGTTCTCTCCGCCATTTCCAAGCAGACACAATTTTTGATTCTAATTAAAGGGGTACGGAGAACAACCGTAGGTCTTTACCGTTTGTTTTTATAACCGCCAAAATTTCAGACACAGCCAGCTGAACAAAACATTAAAGGCACTTATGTGACAAAATACTACAAGATTTTTCACTACAAGGCCAGCTGTGGCCAAGTCCAGTCATAATCTTAATTACCAGCTTTAGCAAGACATCCAAGCGATGGGCAAATGGAATATCTACCAAAAAAAAGTAAGAAGACTTCAAGGCTAGAGCCTATGAAGACCACTTAAAACGTATGACTTTCTGGTACATGGAAAGAGCTGGCGCAGAGCTCCTGGCTCAGTGTGCACGGTTCAAGGCACGACTGTAAACGGACACCCCACGGGTCCACGTAAACATGCCACCGCGCCCGCCTGGAGCCTCAACACTCAATGGCCTCCAGAAGGAACAAGCCTAAGAACTGGAGACCTTTTGGCTTTAGGGAAGAGTGTCCAGAATTGCCAAACTCAGGTTCTTTTCCACTTTTAGGAAGACAAGAGTCAATAGACTACAATGTGCTATCATCCGGAGCTCATCACAGCAAGCACGGACAGTGCCCAGCAGGCCTCCTGGGGTCCCACTGCACCTGAGGTAACAGCAGGCTTTGCCCTGGGCTGCACCCACACCTGCTCCTGAGGTGTTAGCATCACCACGACCCAGAGGAGGAAGCCAAGGTGCAGAGATGAAGGAACTAAGCCACGTGCTCCATGCAATGGAGGTGACCCCAGAACCCGTGAAGTCCAGACAGCACTGCAGCCCAGCGACTAAACCGCCACGCTTCTATTTCACCAACTTAGAAGCGGCACCACGAGAGACAACACGAACCAGCGGCCACATGGAGCTCCTTGGATCACAGAGTGTCTACCGGGAAGACACGGATCACAAGGTGCTGGCGGCCAGATGCCCAGAGCATCCGCACATGGCCCCGGCTCCGCCACTCAACGCAGCATGGGAGACCACGGCTGGCGCCAGCCGCCAGGACACAGGAGCGGGGCAAACTCTTCCAATGTAAGTTCTTATTCGACTGCACACGCTGAACTGTGGGATGCTCCTGTGATGAGCTAGCTGGCAGCTGGCTGTGAAGCCCTCAACACTCTGCACCGGCTCCGAGAGCACAGGGCTTCTACAGCTATGAAGCACCTTGAGTTCAGTGAAAGGAGTCACGGGGTGCTCAGGCCAATCCCTTTACTATTCTTCTGTGTTTGAGACCAAATCCATATTGAGAATTGAAAGACTCCGAAGGAAAGCCTCAGAGTCACCGTGCGAAATCCAGACGGGGGAAGCGAGAAGTCTGAGAAATGCGGGGCACCATCCCTCCACTGGGAGCCATGGCCGGGGGGCCGGTCACCTCCACAGGGTTCCCGGCACCCACACACACTGTGACATGCAGAAGGCATGTTTTATTTCTTCAAACGTATACCCGCGTGCAGCCTGTCCAGAAGCTAGAGCAGGTAGCCTCAACACGAGACACGGCCACAAGTCCGAAGAAACATGGGCCCACTCCCCTCCCTGTGAACTGGCGACAGCTGCACAGCCACCTCGCTTGTACAAAACATCCTTCTAGGTAATGTGGGAACACGGAGAACAGAACCTTTCAGTCACGTGCTAAAGTGATAATCTGAGTTCTTAGCAAGACATGGAACAAGCATGGATGCTGGGCTGATGATGAGGCGGAATGAGCAGCGGGCTGGCCCCCCGTGATTCAGTGAGCGTGGGCCAGGCCGGCGCTGGGAAACACTTCCCTGCAGACCAGCATGTGTTTGTTTGCCTTACTGCAGTTATTCATTCACCTTCTTTTAGGCAGGTCATGAAACAGTGTCAAAGTTTGGGCTTACTGATTCCATGTTTTAAAATCTATTTAAAAGAATGAAGGGTCCTTTTTCTTGAAAAGCACTATAATGCTATCCATACTTCTGCAGACATTACTGTCTCTATTTCTCATCATTGGATTAGTTAAATTTCTGAAACCTTATGACAAAGTCACGACTTACAAAGTTGGTGCAGAGCCATTGTCTGTGAGGATGAGTCTGGGATGTTGCTGAACTGTAATGGGAGAGCTGGAACCTGACCCTGAGCTTGCTGATGACACGCTAGGTGGGCGCATCTCAGAGAGATAGTCGGGAGCAGAGTCCACCTGGAGTGGTAGCTGGTGAATGTGGATGTCGCCAGTGACGGGGGGGTCCATGATACCACAAGTGAGGATGTGTGAGAGGCTGCAGTCATCGCAAGCACATCTGATTGGGAATTAAGGACAGTTACCGAGACAGCCAACAGAGAAGGGCAGACCGTGCTCTTTAGAGGTTGGTGCCGGCCCTCTGTGGGGTCAGCGAGGGTCCCGCAGGCCCGCTGCGCGCACACGCAGGCTCACCTCCTCCTGTAGTTGCAGTTGGGGCAGTCGGGCATGCTCAGTCGCGACGACAGCACGTGCCTCATGGTGTCCGTGAAGCTGTTCTCGCCAGCGACGGCCTTCTTGTTCGTCAACTGGAGGAAATCACGAGACAACGGGTTAGTTTTGCAAGACGCGCCGCCCCGTGACACAGCTTATATTTTCCAGTAATTGTGGCAGTGTGTGTCACACTCAGAACCAATGACCACAGCTTCCTAAGGTGGGGCAGGGCCAGGAAAAGGGGCCGCAGATGTGTGAGGCACACAGCCGTGGGGCTGGGAGAGGCCCGGACACAGGCCAGGGACCAGTAACCCCTAACAGGCTTCCTCACCAGCAAACACGCCGCAGCGTCCCTCACAGCAGACACCCAGCCTTTACCCTGAATCTGCCGTGGGCTTGGTACTTGCTAGGTACCGGGAACATAGGGATAATCACTGCCCTCAAGGAGCTTAGATTCTGGAAGAGGGGACAGGCAAGAAACCAAATTTGAAGACCGTGACGTAGAAGGTGCCCTGGGAGACCTGCTCAGCATGCTGGAGGGGTGGGGGAGCTGCTCGGCAGGTGCCAAGCCTCAGCAAGGCCCAGGTGCAGTCTGGTGATCCCATCAGAGGCAAGGAGGGCGTGCGGGCCAGCGAAGAGCACTGAGCCGGGCATCCCCTCACGAGACCCTTGGCCGCTGCTGAGCCTGGGCTGAGCAGGGGTGCGTCTCGGGAACAGCCTCCCCGCCATCGGGCCTGTGCACACAGAGCTGTGGCACCCAGCGCCCACGAGTTACACGGACGCTTATGAGGCACGATGGAAGCTGGACAGTCAGCACGAAGGCGGCAGTGGGCGGGTGGGAAGGAACGCAGCAGTGAGGAAGGCCAGCTGGAGAGGACACCAGTGGAGCATGGAGGAGGGGGGACCCGGGAACCACCTAGGAAGCGGCCCCTCAACCTCCACTCGAGCGGGCGAGCCTCTGGATTTTAGAGAAGGAGCCTGTGGACTGGCTTGGGCAATGGGATGGGTGGTGGCCAGAAGAGCCATGGGACAGGACAGAAGCCACACAGGTAAGCGAGCGGAGCACGGCTGCCCTCTGTCTACCTGTGGAGCCCAGAGGAGACCACGGGTGCGGGCGAGGCTGGGGCCACCGACACCTAGGGAAGGCCAAGGGAGCACGCCCGGCAAGGGAGACTAACTGGGAGAGAAGCCAGCACATGCACGGGAAGCAAGTTTCCCAGTGAAGTCCAATGCCCTGAGACCACCACACCGCAGCCCCCGCGAGTTCTGCCAAAGCGGCAGGCAGAGGGGTGGGGGGAAGAGCCGCTGGAGGAAGGGGTGCGCTGGGGCCGCCAGCAGCCACGGCGAAGGCATGGCCCCTGGCACACGTGGCGCGCACCAAGTTTCAGCCCTGCGACTTCACTGTATGCACCCTGGCGAGTAAACTGGGGACACGCCACCCGCCTAGGAGGAGTCCGTGGGGACTCAGGGGTGGCTGTGGCCCGAGCGGGTGGCTCTGTAAACGCGGGTGTCCCCTGAGGGATACAGGAGAGAAGGAAGTCGGAAGGAAAACCAGTTTACACCACTGCCACGCACAGTGAGCAGAACATGCAGTGCGGTGCTGAAGCGCCGGTCTTTTGGAGCCGTCCACCCGCAGGGAGCAATTCCCATTCCTGTGAACCGCCCCTCCGGCCCACAGCCTCACCTGCTCTTCCATGAATCGCCTTTGTTTAAAAAGCTCCCAGTCTTCTGTTAGCATGCGCTGTTTGGTTTTCATTGTCATCTAATTCATGGGGGATGTAAAAAACAAAAAGTCTTAGTACCAGCAAGAGCTACCCCGGACATTTTCAAGGGGAGACTTTTAAAACGATACATACAAGAGACCGCGTCTGCGGACAGAAGCCACAGCACTACAGGAACGCTACCTTATACTCGATCTCTGCGCCTCACGTGACTCGCTCAAAATCATCGCAAATACTTTTCTTGCATGAAAAACACAGCGAGGAGTTCAGATTTTAAAGAGAAATTAACGTATCAGAGGTGGATCTGTCAATACGGTGAGTGGACAGTCACAGTTCACTGAACAACCGCGAGGGGCCCTGCACGTGAAGCGTGAGCCCTGGGGAGGTCGCCCTGAGCGCCACAGCAGGCACCAGGGGCTGCGCAGGGAGGGGCGGGGGCCGCCGTTTAAGCACGAGCTTCAGCTTGTGAAGATGAGAGAGCTCTGGAGCTGAACAGCGGTGACGGTCACAGCAATGTGAGCGCACTCAGTATGAATGAACTGTAGACTTAGAAACGGTTAAGGTAGTAAATTTTGAGTAACGTAGATTTTCCCACAACGAAAAAGAAATTGAGGGGAATAGGGAATTAAGAATGGGCTCAAGGCACTGCCTTATTTGAAGGAGGAGGCTACGAAATGATTAAATCTTGGTGTTTATATAAATGTATTCTTGTAAATTAACCACTGAAAGGATATGGGATACGTATCTTCAAAATTATTAGAAGAAAAAAAAACGGAAAAGGGCGTATATTCAGTCCTACAGGGAAGGACATACTACAACCAGCAGCGCTCCCAGCTGCTGGACGGAATGCTGCTCGACTCCCAGACCACCTAATAAACAGCCTATTACATCTTCAAATTAAAACAAACAAACAAACAAAAAACTGCCCGTTAAACCCTCCAAAATAAAACAAGAGTAACTTAATAAAATCAAATTCATGCACTTAAAATTTTTTAATAGTTTAAAAGTATCAGAGAAGAAACCAAAGTTGAAATTACAGTCTGTTTAGAAATAACTGACAAGGAAAGCCCCACAAATCAAATTTTATAAGATGAGCCCAAGATGCAGAAGAAAATGTACAGTTTAGTGGCGTTTATGAGAGAACAGAACAACAAAAAAAGCCTGAAAAGTATGCGTTCAATGTAAGAAGCCCAAACAAAATGAAACAAGAAATCAACTGATAAGCAATTAAAGGTAAAAGCTGAAAGTTGGAAAACCAAGAAGTAAATGTGATCAACAAACCCACAAGTTGGTTCTCTGAACTTCCTCCCAGGCCGAACAAGGGAAGAAAAGGAACAACAAAATAGCGGGAGTGAGAAGGGGCACGGACACATACAAAGATTTTCTAAAACCACAAGAGAAAACCCCTGTGCAATTCACGCCTTCCACATACAAGAGCAGCTGCCAACAGGAGGCTCGTGGCTATCTTGTCGGCCCTGCACAACGTGTTTTACAAGCTGAGCCAACGTGAAAAAGCCTTTGAGATTTCACCTAACAGTCTAGACTCCTGGCCTCTCTCGACGCTGGACAGCTCAGAGGGCAGGCTGTGGGCACAGCTGGGACGCCAGGGGCACTCCTTTTAGGGGAGCAAGTGCTCTCATTACAGTGCGAAGTTAGAGGCAGGGGAATTCTCCTGTAGCCATCACGCACCCATTTTCATCAGCTGCCCTGTAAGCACAAGCTTAAGCCCACCCCTTTATATGAATGATGTGGATAATTACCCAGGCAAATATCAATTTGTAAAACTCACTTAAGAAGTAGGTTCATGAACACAATGTGTACTGAAAAGGCAGTAAAAGATACTGAGTCCTTGTTCCTTCCCCTGCAAAAATGAACCAGGCCCCAGAGTTTCATGGTAGGGTCTATGCAAACCCTTTGTAGATTAGGAAAGTTGAACTATTCCTAAAAACTGGAAAAACATGGAAAGTTCTCAATTCATTCTGTGAGATTAGCATAATTATCCTTTATACAAAACAAACAAGACCTCAAAGATGAAAACTCAGTAATACCTCAGAATACAGATATAAAAATCCTAAATAAAATGCCTAATAATGGATTAAAGAATAATATATTATAATCTAGTAGGGTTTAATTCCAGGAATGCAAGGATGTTTCAAAATTAGGAAGCCTAATCTAATTCATACAAAAACACATAAAAAGAGAAAAAACATACAAACTTAATGTCTATTCCTGCTTTAAAAAATTTTTTTTTAATTAATTAATTTATTTTTAGCTGCATTGGGACTTCACTGCTGCACAAAGGCTTTCCTAGTTACAGCGAGCAGGGGCTACTCTTCGTTTCGGTGCGCAGACTTCTCATTGCGGCGGCTTCTCGTTGCACAGCACGGGCTCTAGACGCACGGGCTTCAGTAGTTGTGGCACGCGGGCTCAGCAGTTGTGGCGCGTGGGCTCTAGAACGCAGGCTCAGTAGTTGTGGCGCACGGGCTTAGTTACTCCGCGGCATGTGGGATCTTCCCAGACTGGGGCTCGAACCTGTGTCCCCTGCATTGGCAGGCAGATACTTAACCACTGCGCCGCCAGGGAAGGGCTCTTTAATTTGCTAAAAAGTATCAAAAATTTGTATGGCAAGCATCAGACTTAATGTGAAACCTCCAAAGCGTTCCACAAAAGCCAGGAACTGAACAAGGATGCTGCTGCTAGTAACACTCTTACTCATGACGCTTTGAAGATTCTAGCTGAAGTGAAAAAACAAAACACAAAGTTCAAATGCTAATAAAGAGGATAAGACAAAACTATTATTATTTGTAAACGATGTCATGGTCTCCTAGAAAACTCAAAGCAATCAATTCCAGAACTATTTGAGAGATGATGACACGGTGGGATGACTGGACACAAAGCAGAACTCAGCTCGCCTATAAGGACCAGCAATAACTCCTTAGAAAATGTATTCCACCATCTAAGATGCCACTCGTGATAGTCCCTAAAACTGTGAAACACCTACATATAAATTCAGTAAGAAATGTACAAACTATAAGACCATAATATAGGCTATAAAAGACAACCTAAAAAAGGAGATATATACCATAGTTTTGAATGGGAAGATTCAATATTGGTGCTAATTCTCCCTTTACGTAACGTGGGTCTGCAGTTTTCAGGAGAAACATTTTTCTTTCGTGAGTAACTATTACTGTTGCAAATTTTAAAAATGATTTAAAATGAGCTAAACATTCGAAAAAGTAATCATTTCTTTATCTTATTACAGAGCTCAGTACAGAGTTGTTTGATAAATATAATCAATAGAAACCTCCTCTTTGACCTTCTCTTCGCAGCCTCTGGGATTAATTTTGTGGAACATTTCGGTACCTGTAGGCTTATATATGCGTCACACAACAAACAAAGGATAAATCTTTAAAAGCAAACAAGAACAACGGATTTCAAAGCTGTCAACTGTCTCCCCATGGCCATACTTATTTGTGAATACTAATTATTTTACAGATGTGCAACATTTTGCAGTGTTGAATTACTATGTAGTTTCTAAAATGCTGCTTGATTAGAAGAGACTGATATCCATTCCAAGGATTCTAGAATGACTGGTACCCTCTGGATGCAACTAAAATTGCTCGATTTCCCTAACTGGTATTAATGGCATCGTAGTTCCTTGACAGGTGAATGAGAATAAGAATGCACCTTTGGGTTGCTTTAATGAAAGAGGATGGCTTTCCACTGTGAAAAGACAGAGAATGCTTTCTTTTTTTTCCTTGTAAAATACGTGTAACCTAAAATAAACCATCTGAACCATTTCAGTGGTATCCCCTCTCTCTTCATCTTGCAAAAGTGAAACGCAGTCCCCGTTAAACAATAACCGCCCGCCTCCCCTGGCCCCCGGCACCCACCCTCCTACTCTCTGTCTCTATGGATTTGCCTACTCTAGGGACCTCAGGTGAGTGGGATCAGACAGGATGTCTTTTTGTGTGTCTGGCTTATTTCACTTAGAGTAATGTGTTTAAGGTTCTTCCACGTTTTTAGGTCTTCCACGCAGGTCCCTGATTCACTTTGAGTTCCCTTTTCCATATGGTATTAGATAAGGGTACAACTTCATTCTTTTGCAGGTGGATACCCAATTTTCCCAGCACCATTTGTTGAAAAGACTGTCTTTTCCCCATCGAAGGGTCTTGGCACCCTTGTCAAAAATCACCTGACCATATACGCAAGGGTTTGTTTCTGGGCTTTCTACTGTTATCCACTGGTCTGTATGCCTGTCTTTATGCCAATACCACGCCGCTTTGATCACTGTGGCTTTGTAGTAAGCTTTCAAATCAAAAGTGTGAGCCTCCAGTTTTGCGCTTTTTTTCCCCAAGACTGTTCTGGCAATTCTGAGTTCCTTGAGATGCCGTATGAATTTTAGGGTGGGTTTCTCTATTCTTCAAAAAACATCACTGGGATTCTGATAGAGATTGCACTGAATGTGTAGACCACTTTGGGTACTCCTGACGTTTCCACAGTATTAAGGGGTCCAATCCCGGAACACAGGAATGTGCCTCCATTTATTGATGCCCTCTTTATTTTCTTTCAGCAATGTTTTGTAGTTCTCACTGTACAAGTCCTCCACCTCCTTGAGTAAGTTAATTCCTAAGTATTTTACTCTTTTCAATGCCACTGTAAATAAAACTGTTTTCATAATTTCCTTTTCAGATTGTTCACTGTTTGTTTGTACAAATGCAACTAATTTTTGTGTGTGCACTCTGTATCCTGCTACTTTGCTGAATTCACTTACAGTTTTTAAATTCTAACAGTTTTTTTTTTTTTTTTGCAGAGTCGTTAGGATTTTCTACATATAAGATCACATCATTTGCAGAGACCGTTTTACTCTTCCTTTCCAATTTAAATGCCTTTTATATCTTTTTCTTGCCTAACTGCTGTGGCTAGATTTTCTAGTACTATGTTGAATAGAAGTGGTGAAAGCAAGCATCCTTGCCTTGTTCCGGATCTCAGAGGATTAAAGGCTTTCTTTTAATCTTTCACTTCTTTTAAAATTAATTTTTATTGGAGTATGGTTGCTTTACAATGTTGTGTTAGCCTCCACTGCACAACAAAATGAATCAGCCATACATATACAGATATCCCCTCCCTTTTGGACTTTAATCTTTCATTATTGAGGATGATGTTTGCTACAGGTTTTTTATATTTGTGGCTTTTATTATATGGAGGTAGTTTCCTTCTATTCCCATTTTGTTGAGTGTTTTTAATCATGAACGATGGTGAATTTTGTCAAATGCTTTTGCTGCATCAACTAAGATGATCATGTGGTTTTTCCTTGTTGATGTGGTATGTTATATTAATCAATTTTCATACCTTGAAACACCTTTGCATTCCAGGAATAAATCCTGCTTGATCATGGTGTATAATCCGTTAAATATGCTGGCTTCTGCTTGCTAGTGTTTTGTTAAGGATTTCTGCATCAATATTCATAAAGGACGCTCACTGGTCCGTCGTTTTCTTTTCTTGTAGTGTCTTTGGCTTTGGTATCAGGCTTAGGCTGGCCTCATAGAATGAGTTAGGAAGTGTTCCCTCCCCTTCAGTTTTCTGGAAAAGTCTGAGAAGGATGGGTATTAATTCTTCTTTAAATGTTTGCTAGAATTCACCTTTGAAGCCATTGGGTCCTGAACTTTTCTTTGTTGGGAGATTTTTGATTACTGATTCAATCTCCTTACTAGTTATAAGTTACTAGTTACTAGTAACTATTCAGATCCTCTATTTCTTCATAATTTAGTCTTGGTTGGTTCTTTGTTTCTAGGAATTTGTCCATTTCATCTAGGTTATCCAATTTGTTGGTGTACAATGGTTCATAGTACTCTCTGGTAATTCTTTTCATTTCTGTAGGACTGGTAGTAATGTCCCTACTTCATTTCCGATTTTAGTAATTTCAGTCTTTTTTCTTTTTCTCTTAGTCCATAAGCTAAAGGTCTGCCAATTTTGCTGTTCTTCTTGAAGAACCAACTTCTGGTTTCACTGATTCTCTCTTCTGTTTTTCTATTCTCTGTCTTTGTTTACCTCTGCTCTAATCTTTATTATTTCCTTCCTCCTGCTAGCTTTGGATTTAGTTTATCTTTTTTTTCTTTCTACAAGTTGCAAAGTTAGGTTGTTGATTCGAGATCTTTCTTTTTTAATGTAAACATTTATAGCTATAAGAACAAGTATTTTTAAAGAAATAAATTCACTTTCAGTCTTACTTTTTAAGACCATATTTTCCTTTTAGAAACAACATGTATGTTGCTATTTTTACACACCCCCATTTTATCACAAGAGCAGTGATAACACTGTGCATCATATTCCTGATTATTATATTCCTCGCAGCAAGGAGATTACTGCTCAGCACAGTGCTTAGCACACTGCACAGCAAGCCACCATTTATCTTCTTTCTCTTCACCTGAATTATCACTTTAGTTACACCGTTTTTCTGAAATCATCTAAATAAGATCACAAGTTATTGATTATCATCAGAAGCTTACACTGACACAGCATGATGGAAAAGTCAGGGATAAATCAGACCCCCGCTCTAGCGCATGGCACCAATCTCTGCAGAAGGAACCGCCAGCTGCAGTGGAAGCCCCTTCAGATCAACTCCAGACTGAAGGCTCCTCTGCGACAGACGGCGAGCCCCTGCTCGACACAAGGACCAGTGCTGCTTACATGCCCGCAGGCCTTCGTTTGCACTTGTACTCACGAATGAGCGTCTCCCCACTGCCACTATGGAACTCTGCAAACTCCCCGAGTAGCGCTCAGCATCAAACACAAAGTTCAACAAGCCCCACTGTCAGGGCCAGAGATGCAGGGGACCTCACAGGTCACCTAGTCCAGCCACATCTAAGATTCCGATGTCAGGACTCCCCTGGTGGTGCAGTGGTTAAGACTCCACGCTCCCAATGCAGGGGGCCCGGGTTTGACCCCTGATCAGGGAACTAGATGATCCCACGTGCGTGCCGCAACTAAGAGTTTACATGCCACAACTAAGAAGCCCACATACCACAACTAAGGAGCCAGAGAGCCGCAACTAAGGATCCCGCCTGCTGCAACTAAGACCCAGTGCAGCAAAATAAATAAATATTAAAATAAATAATTTTTAAAAAAAGACTGCTGTCAATTCACTTCTGCACGTCTCCTCTCACAGGGCAGCTCTGTCTTCCTGTGCTTCTCCCTGGGGTCAGACTTCAATCGCTGGGCTGGAGGCCTCTCTCTCCAGACCTCCTCACAGCACTGAGGACAGGGGCTGCCCCAAGTTCCTGAGGCTGCACTGCCATTTCCTGTTGGGGTCTGGCCTGTTCGGAGATGCCTTGAGGACAGACAGCGCAACCCTCACATCTGGACTCCAGAACTCTGTCTAGGACCCTCCCCAGCACAGGCTTCCAAGTGACAGTCTGTTTACTGCTGCCCATCAACCTTTCAGCATCTGATCCGCCCTCCAGTTGATTCGCCAGGACCCAGCTTCTCTCTACACGTCTGTTACTACTGTAGATACTAACGGGGTGGCAGAGGGGCCCAAGGCAGAGCTGCCAATGTCACTGTCCAGGCCCACAGCAAACACTGATGCGGGAGCCGTCTGGATGGGCTGTCTGCTGTTGTCCTTGCAGCAGTTTATTGCCCACATGGACCCAGAAGGTTCTCAGGGGACGCGGCACATGGCTTGTGAGGTTCTAGGGTGTCCTCCCTCCTCTCCTAGTCCAGGGACCCTGAAGACAAACTGAGGCCAGTGTAAGCAGCAACCCTTGGTAAGGACAGACTCATCCTCAGTCTGCTGGACAGGGGGCATTTTCTTCAGCCTAATGTTGGGGACCGGGGTTCCGTGACCTGATGCAATCCACCCTTCCTGTAAGCCGAGACGGCAGGACAGACTTAGCAGGTGGAGTAACCTCGTGGGTTCCCACAAAGCAGCCCCGACCAGCTCCTGTTTCTCACACGTCTCTCTCCCTGAGAAGCCTTCGCACATCACTCGTTCTTTTAAAGCAAGGATGGCTCATCAAACTTCTTCCATCGTCAGCTTGGACCCCGACGACGAGAGTGTAGCCAGGGAGAGGCTGGCGTCTAGTCTCTGAATTTTTTCTGAAGGTCCCTCCTGCACAGAGAACTGATGCCCCAACGTCCCGGGAAACCAGGGCTCCCAATTCTCCCCTCTCCTCTGTACTCTGGATAAACCACCGCACTTAACTGATGTGGGGTTTCCTCAAGGTAACCCAGTAACCGGCTCGGTGCAGCTCAACTCAGAACACAAGGGACTGTTTACTGCGGTCCTGCTTTTTAGTAACCACACACACACAAAACTGATTCAGAATTATACAATACGAAGGCTCAAACAGAACCAAAATGTCATCTAATCTGATTCTGTCATTTCACAAGTGGGAGACTAAGTAAGGCCCAGGGAGGGGAAAGGCCTGAATGAGGCTCACAACCAATCTGGGGCAGGGCCTGGCGCCAAAAGCCCCTCAGGGTCCTCCGCAGGACCTGCGTCCAGAACACCCCGAGGAACAGGCAACAGCCCCCGTCCCCATGCAGCAGTCTCCCCTCCGGGCTCCTGTGCCCTCTGCTACCCGGACAGGAAACTCCTGCAAACGGGCTGGTGCACATGCAGGCGTCAGGGGGGAGGGAGCTGTCTGCTCCCCTGCCTCGGAGTGACTCAGCTGCCGGCCGCCTGGCTGCACAGGCCTCAGGGGCCGAGCTGGCTGCAGGTCCAGGTGGAGGATGCACAGGTGGAGGATGCACGGCTCCCTGACCCCGTGCCTACATTTGCCAGCCTCAGGCGAGTCACGCAACCTGGGGCCAGCCCTGCCCCCACAGCGGCCGAAGCTGAGGTGTCAGTGGTCAGCAACGAGCCACAGCTGGAGAATTCGAGTGCCCCGGGGGCCCCAGGACAGCGGGGAGCGTGGGCCAGGCACAGAGTGGCTCCCGAGGCCACGTGCTACACATGCAGCAACTGTGGAAGAGGCCAAGCGCATGGCGCCGGCAGAGCCACCTGCCCAAGACAAGCTCAGCTCAACAGCGCCGAACTGTCGCGTTGCCAAGGCGCACCTGACAGAGGGGAAGGCCAGGATCACGCGGGAGAATATGGTCGGAACCGCTCCCCTAGCTTCTGAATGAGAGACTACTTAGAGTAACGGTCCCTGAGGCTGCAGAGGGAGAACTGCCACACGAAACACGGAGTGAGGCTGGAACGAACAGTGACGTGGGCACACGCCAGTCCCTTCCTTCTTCCCAATCCCTCACCACGCTCAGGTGGCAACGCCGAGACGAAGCGTCACAGCCAGCGGCCAGGCGGCACCCAGGATCCCAGGCAGACTCTGCACCAGCACCCGCCTTACGCCAGAACCAAGGTTCTGTTTTCCTACAGCCTCAAAAGTACAACACGGAGCTGTCACTGTTCCCTTATTACTCCGCACACCCTGCAGTACCCTGGAAAAGATCCATGCTGAACGCCTCCCCTGCCCAACCCTCCTGGGGGCTTTAGAAAGGCGGGCTGGCCGGCCGCGATGCCGGCTGGAAGCCCTGCCCGCGGGCCCCATCCCCACAGCAGCGCCTGCCTTCCACCCTCCTCCACCCCTGCAGACCACCTGCCCAGCACAGCCGTGTGTGTTCGTGTCTGCGCTCCCGCTCGACATGCTTAGGGACGGGGGGAGAATGGGCTCTGAAGCTCACGTGTGGCCAGCGTTCAGTAAACGGGTCCTGACCCGGCAAGGTTCAGCCGTTTCCAAAGGCCTCAGAGGCCCCCGCCGGCAGCACCGAGTCTGGGCAGCAGCCTGTGCCCGTGACTGTGGCTGCACCCAGGCCAGCAGGGACCTGACCGGCAGCTGACCCTGCGGGCATGGCTGGGCGTCCCCTCCGGAGCAACAGCAGCTGGGAGCCCCCGCTCGCACCCCTCCCCTGGGCACGTGGCGCCTCGCGGCGGGCTCCTTGCGGCCGTCCCAGCGGTGCACACCCACCTGCTCGTCCACGTAGGCGTCGATCCTCTTCTGGCACTCCAGCCACTCCTCGGCCACCCCGCGCAGCTCCTCCTCGGAGCGCTGGTACCGCTGCAGCAGGGTGCTGTACGTGTCCTCGTTGCAGGTGTCGTGCGTCGTGGTCCCCAGCCTGGGGAGAGAGGCCTTTCAGCACCCTGGCCATCATCTCCCCTCCCGAGGTGGCAAGTGGGGCACCACCACACACCCCACGAGGCTGCTGTGCGGGCTGAGTTAGGCACACAGCCCAGGCACCCACGACAGAGTCTGGCCTAGAGAAGACGCTCCAGGAAGCAACAGCTCCTAAGAAAAAAATGAGTGGTGAGTCACGCTGTTCTACAAAGACTAAGGGCCAGAGATTCAGTGCACTGGATGTGGGGTCGTAAACTGTTTTTCCCTACTGAGATTCACTGACACAGAGAGAACAAAACATTTAATGAGAAATACAAAACCAAATCAAGAAAAACAGGAAATTCAGTTCAATAAAAAATATGATCATAGTTTCATTTACTCTGTGTATCTTGCTAAGAAAGATGGCAAGATGGCAGACGAGAAACTAAACAGAAAACAAAAGTCACAAATAGAGGTAAACACCTGGGCTTCTCAAGAGGAGGGTGGCAGGGGAGAGAAGGGGAGTGGGGGAGGGGTGCAGGCTCACAGGCAGGTTATCTTCAGACACCGTTCCTTTTCCTAATACCTAAACGTGCCAACATTTGAACCAAAGCAATGGTGATAAAGACCTCATAACACAGAATTTCAAAATCAAAGGCCACGTTTATAATCGCTGACAAGCACAAAGATGACGCGCGGGCTTAATAATCGCTGCTGTTCACACGAAAGAACTGGAAGTGACCCGCTGGGATCAGTGATACCACACCAGACACGCCTTCTAACCACACACTAAGTTACACCTATGCGCTCACACTCAGACTCAGACACACATGCACTTACAGACACACGTTCTGAAATGGAGATGCTCCCATGTTAAGTGAGGAAAGGACTACGTCACCACGTGTAAAGATGCACATGTGTGGGAGGCGTGGACACTGGAAAAAATCTGGAAGCAGCACCCAGTTGTTTATGGTACCTACCTTACCTACCTCTTCAGGGTTTCCTTTGCTTTCAGAATTGTATTGCAATGACAATCTAATAATTTTATAATGAAAATAAACAACAGTGATTTAAAAACAAGAACTTTTCCATGGGTGCAGACACCTTCCTTTCCACCCTGGTGACCACTGCACAAAGACGCACGTCGTGCGAATGGACTCATTCTTGCCGAAGCCGTCTACACCGGCTCCATCACTTCAAGGAGGGAGCACGCGGAAAACAAGGTCACCGAAAAGCTGTGCAGGAAAGCCCAGAGCCAGGAAAGGGCACGACGCGACCCACGCGGTGATGGGGCTGGCTCAGACACCGAGGCTGTCCCCAGGAAACAGAAGTCCTCAAGACCCAGAATCCAGGGCCTCTCGAGGCCCCCCTGGCTCCACCCAGCACGTGGGTGCCTCCAGGCCTGAGAGCACGGCAGCCCACGAGGCAGCAGTCTTCTCCTCAACCCCTGCCTCTGCAACCCTGCTTGTCACAAGCTGATTTCCACTCTTCGTGCAAACCCCACCTTGCCCGTTAGGCCACCCAGAAGACTGGGGTGGAGGCGGAGGGGACTCATGCTCTCCCCCGCTCCTGCCTGAGGTGAGAACCGCTCCCCTCCTGTCCTACGCGCAGACTCTACTTAGAGCCAGTGGAGGGCAAAGCAGCCGGGGGTCCTGGGACTTCTGTGGTGGGGCACTCAGAGCACAAGCTGTAGGCACAGGGCTGGAGTCCAGAGAGGAAACAGGGAGCTGCTAGACTGCAGAAAGTGTCCTCAGGGTCAACAGCATCAATGGGTCAGCAGACAGGTTACTACCTACATATTCACTCTGCAAACACATGACAGTTAACAGCTGGTAATATCTATTATGAATATTGTCTATGTGAAACAATAAGTGATAAGGAAAATGAGATAAAATCAGTTCAGGTACGTTTACTTACAAGCCTAATTAAACATTCCCCTAACAATGAATATATCAATATACTTAAAATAAAGACCAAATTGGGCAATAGCTACTAAAACCACCACAACAAATAAGGAGAGACAACGGGGCTCCTGGTCTTGCCAGAGGGATGGAAGCAGACTCGGACAGAGCTTCTGGTTTCACACGAACTCTCAGGCAGCACAGACAGTGAGTGGCCTGCTGGAGGACCCAGACCCTGGCATCGCTACACGACAAACGGAGCTGGTTCCTTAATGGGTAAGTTGTGAGGGAAAGTGGATAGGGGTGGGGCCTGCATGTTAAAGCATCTCAAAAGGCAGGGAGAAAAAGGGGCCAGGAGTGGGGGTCAGTGTTTAACGGTGACACAGTCTCCATCTGGGGTGACATCCAAGTTTTGGAAATAGTGGTGACAGTTGCCCAACGTTATAAATGTAATTAATGCTACTGAATTGTACACTTTAAACTAGTGAACTATATGGTGTGTGAATTCTATCTCAATAAAGCTGTTAAAAAGCAGAGAGACATAACTTTCCTAAATTAAGTCAGTTCCTTGAATGAAGTCAACCTTTGGGTAGATCATTTGTATTTAAAAAAAGAGAAAAAAAAAACGACAGCAAATAAAAATCAGGCAAGACTATGGAAATGCACATGAGTAATAAGAGAGTAAAGAACGGGGGATTTCCCTGGCGGTCCAGTGGTCTAAGACTCCACGCTTCCACTGCAGGGAGCACACGTTTGATCCCTGGTCGGGAAGCTAAGATCCCGCATGCCGGACAGTGTGGCCAAAAAAAACAAAGAGAGAGAGAATAAAGAAAGGGAACCACAGGCTCGCTGTGCAAGACAACTGAGTGACAGCTCTGGGCGAGGCTCCTGGGCCCGGTGGGACATGCAGACGGACCTGCTGCTAGGTGAGCACGCTGGGCTGGGGCTAAGGGATGTTCACCTGCTATCAATCCATTCAGCTTACATTTATTTTGTGTAGTTTTCTGTATCTGTATTTTACTTTATAATAAAGTTAAACAAAATGCAGGCCCAGAGACAAAGTGTCAGTGTTAAGATACTCACAACTATGGATTTTGTGTGCCACAGACATAGTTATCACTTTAGGGGGTAGTGTTTGTATATAGGTTGTCACAAAATTTTTAGTTGTTGTTAACTAGGTATCTGTAAACTAGAAGTTCAAATCTGAATTGTTCTTGGGTCCAACAAAGGTGTCCCCTGGGGAACTTGAAGGACTGGCTCCTTCTGGCGCCCCAGACTCCTGGGGAACGCCCTGCTTGCCTTCTCCCCAGCTTCCATCCCCATCTCTATGCACCCTGTCCCTCACCCGCTCCTGGGAGCAACTCTGCAGCTTGGCCCCAGGATTAACACTGAAGACTCTAAACCACTGCTGATCTTTGGAGACTGACCACCATTCACAACGAACAAGATGAGAAATCCAGAGCCAGGGCACAGGAAAAAGTGGGGTTCTACAACACGTTTCAGGTTTCTGCCACCCACCCATGGTTTGATGAGAGGCCCATCAAACTCCCTGGCTCACCAGAAAAAGAAAAAACAAGGCTAAATACCCTGGAATGCTGCTATAAGGACCCCCACCCCCCCCCCCCCCACGCACACACAAGATGCACGTCTTTTTATAAGAAGTGCTCTTGCTGGATTTGAGCATCGTAACTGGGCACAATCTCCATGAGGGTCGCTCACGTCTCATGGAGACATGGACACTCGTACAGGACACGCATGTCTCTCTGCACCCACCATGGAACGTAACGGCGCTGTCGGAATGGGCGGGACGCAGGCAGTGGTGCGGGAGCTGCTGGAAGCAGGGTGCGGGCCACACCAGTAACTCTTTGTCCTGACCACCTTGGCCCCAGTCCTCCTTCCCCAGCTGCTTTTAAGGTTATTCTTGCTCCGGAGGTAAGGGTGAGAAGTGGGAATAGCTAGGACCCCTCAAATAGGAGTTAGGAATACAGGAAACAAAGACTGGATTGAAACATGGATTTCAAGAGAAAAAAAAAATAGGTGACTATTGTGTAAGTTAACTACAACAATAATATATTGACGTAAAAATAATTCCCCTTCTTTGCGAATCTGGCCCAACCATATTTTGGTGTGGACCTTTAAACCAAGATGACTACAGTCTGTGCTGTTCTATGATGCGTCTACAGCCTGGGAATCTGTTCACAGGTGGTAAGCAGATGAGGAACAAAATGACCCGCTGCAGGGCTGAGGTAGCTCACACCTGGCTCTCTAGCACAGGGACAGCAGATCCAAGGAGGGGCCCAATTTGTCAAGCCACCTCGGAGCAAACACCCCCGGCTGCACTTTCCCCTTCCCCCTCACCAGGGCAAGCGACCTGAGGCTATACTTGGGACTCCGGGCTTGGCACACCTGATGAAGCCCCACGGAAGCTCTACAGCAGTAAGAAGAACCCAAGCCATGAGCCACGATGTGGAGCGAATGCTTGAGAGACCTGACAGCGTGTCTAATACCTCCCCTAGCGCCCCAGAGCCCCTTAACACCACCAGCCCTCCCCCGGCCCCCCAAGTGCCCCAGCACAGACCACACCACAGCCACCTGGCAAAGCCTGGGACTTGTCAAGTGAACTGCTATGTTTACCGCAGCTTTTCCTTATTCAGGAGAAATCTGTGATGCTAAACCTTAGTAGCAGTGATACTGGGTTTATTATTTTAAAGTTCAATCGTATCACTCTTTGGGTTTTGAGCTTTCAACCAAACTGTATTTTCCCCTAAGTCCGGTAATTTTCTGGCAAGAACTGCCCCTGCAGTGGCATTCAGGTGCGCACCTGCTGCACCCCAGGGACAGGAGCACGCCGTCACGCCAGCAGGACACATGCAGGTGAAGACCGAGTACCTGATCTGCGACACCAGTGCCGGCAGGCTGCTCTGGAGAAGTGGCTCCGAAAAGACCAGATCTTCAAAGAGGTGCTTATTGTGCAGCTCCCACGTAACCTGGAACTTTTTCAAGTGTTCATTTTCCTAGTGAGATAGATACACAGAAGATACATCCAATCAAAGACTGAAAAATTCCCAGAAGGGTTTCTCCCCCCGCCCCCAAACCCACATCCTCTGTCCAGGCCCAGAACATTCTGCTCATGAGGGGCTGCTACTCCCTGTGCATCCAGCCTCCCTTCCAAATGACTCAACACAAAACAACGGGGTGGCAAGATGCACACAATGAGGGGACAGAAGAGAGAGGCCAGCGTGCACGGCCGGCAGCCACTCCTCATAACCACGCCTCCCAGATGTCCTGCAAGCCCCGCCTCTCAAACAACTTAACTAAACGCACACAAATCCTCTGATGCCGAAGGACAAGCACTTCCGCGCCTGTCTCGAGAAGTCTCCCGTTCCGACAGACACAGTAACTTCCCTGCTAGTGACAATGCGGGGAAGGTCAGCTCTTTCTTTCCCTGCTAAACATGGGCAACCTCATCAGTTACTTTCGACAACAACTTTTGAACATTTGGAAGCATTCTGGCCATCACAGCGAGTGACCTCCAGAGAGGACAGGGTGACCGGGGCAGACAGCGCCACGACCTCCCCACGTGCAGCGTTCATATTCAACAGCTCTGGCCGCAACCACGCGTGTGTGAACCCACACGTCCATCTGTCAGTCACACGTACACTACTCGTGGCGCATCACCTCGCACCTGGGGAAACATTCCTCACCTGAGTGACGGACAGTCTGGAGAGGCTTCACTGGCATCACACTCCAGTCCCCTCTGAACAGGTGACTCATGCCACGCCATGTACTGGTCTGTTCCTATTTACTGTGTAGCCCAACTGAGCTGAAATTATGACACCTGGAGACGTCAGGACACGATCTACACATGGAGATCCCATTGCTCTGTGCCCTGATCACCGGTGGACGGAGGGGCTGAACGAGCAACTCAGGGTGAGCACACACCTGCAGGACGCTGCTGAGCACGTGTGCCCCTGCCCTGCCATGCACGCACACCTGCTCTCGAGTTGCACGCAGCCCTCTGCCTGTACTCGAGACCCGCACAGAGACTCGGCAGGGCACCTATGGCATCTGCAGGAGGGCATCTATGGCACCTGCAGGAGGGCGTCTATGGCATC